CTCCGTAAGAGCCATTATTGATCCAGACTTGTTCGACGAGAGGTAAACTTACGTTGAGCTCCACACACACCCTAGCTACCGACGGGCGGTTAGGTACTAAGGTGGAGGTGTCGACTTTAAGGGGGTTGCCCACCAGATTAGCAATCGAGTAAATGGCCCGCTTGTCGTGGAGATGAGCCGGCAAGCCTTCCAACGCTAGCCAAACAGGAATAATGGGAGACTCAACATCCGGGCGAAAATCTGGCGTCCAGCGAAAGACTCGCATGAGGGATCCCTTGATCGACCATGTCTTTCGAAGCCAGCAGCGCTGGAAATCGATCTCATGATCAAAGTTTATCAGAATGTGCCTCTGATCGATCAGGCCTAGAGTGAAGGCGCCACCAAAGCCAATTTGGTCAAAAGTCTTGCGAAGATCAGCCATCGGCGGGCGACTTTTTGCGAATTTGCCTACTAGTGCAAAACGAAACTTCTCAGAGAATTGTTGTACGTCGTCGTCTGAGAAGGAGACCGCGGGCATACCCTTATAACGCCTCGGCGGCCGAGAGGCGAGGATTCAGATGATTTCGATAGAATATCAGCAAAAGTGCGGTGAGGGGGCGCGGCGGCCCCGGCGGTGCCGCCATCAGAAGCACGCAAAGACAAAGATTGTGTGTATTTAACTTCTGCGGGCTTATAATAAATTTAAATTATATAAAAACGCTTAACGTTAGATAGAGTACTACTTGATTATTGTACATGTGCGATGCACGGATATGACTTATACAGTAATAAAAGTTTAGTAGTTTTTATATTAAATTTGATTTTCATAAAAGTAATCAATTGCAAAAATTTATACTATAGATCCATAATTTCTATACTATAGATCCATAATTTCTATACTGTAGATTCATAGTTTCTAAACTATAAATTCATAATTTCCATACTATAGATTCATAATTTCTATACTATAGATTCATAATTTCTATACTGTATAGTTATCAAATTATGAACATATAGTTCAGTGATTTGTGAATACAGAGTTCAACAATTGAGAATATAAATATTGAAAATTATGAACATAGAGTTCTGTAATTGTGAATATAGAGTTCAAAAATTATGAATTTATAATATAGAAATTATGAATCTATAATATAAAAAGTATGGATTTATAGTAGAAAAATTATGGATCCAATTCCGTATGTACCATGCATAATGCACACAGTTGCACAACATAATTTGCCTAAAACCACTATACAATTAAATATCTATACACAAACATATATGGAATCTGAGCGTAAATTACAAACTATTAAAATTAATATTACAAATTATTAAAATTTGTAATATTGCAATATTATTAAATTTGGAATATTTGAATTTTATATTGAAATTCAATTTCACAATTAAAGTACAATATAAGATACTAATCAGAACTAATAGCTTAGTTTTCAGAATGAACTAATTTCACTTTTGGTCCGACGACTTTAGAGGTTCTATCATTTTTGATGCACAACTTTAAATTTTTTCAATTTTGGTGTCTAATTTTGTTGTTTTTATCAATTTTGGTCCTTTCGACCAAATTGACAGCGAAATATTGCCGAATTTTACATTTTAGGGGCAAAATCGTCATCCCAAAGAAAAATATTCAATATCTAAACAAAAGAAAAATCATGTTAAGAGAAATATAAGTTTGGCAATCGTCGATGCTATAAATCTCATAGATCTGTGTCTAGTTTCTGTCCGTCTTCTCAATTATTCTCATCGATCAAACACCTATAGATATGATTTTAGAGTGATTTTGTTTAGATATTGAAGATGTTTCCTTAGGATGACGATTTTACCCCTAAAAATATAAAATCCGGCAATATTTCGTCGTCAATTTGGTTGAAAGGACCAAAATTGATAAAAACAACAAAGTTAGGCACCAAAATTGAAAACTTTTAAAGTTGTGCACCAAAAGTGATAGATCCTCTAAAGTCGTGGGACCAAAAGTGAAATTAATTCTTTCTAGAATCATCTTCACTCTCACTCACTGCACCTCTGCATCTCGCCTCTCTTAAGCTCACAAACTAAGAACTCTCTAGACACTCCTCACAATACTTAAGCTAAGTTTAGTGATTTACACACTACATATTTTCCATTGGAGATCTACCTCTACTGCTTTTTTTTTTCTTTTTTTTTTCTTTTTTTTTTTTTTTTTTTAAGTTAGGGTTCTTTCCTAGCTAATCTCTGAGAAGCAATCCAGAAATTCCAACTGTCTGAGTGGTTTTGTCAGGTATATTAGATTGAAGAAGATGAATATGGCCTACCAAATCTGGAAAATTCAAGACGCAGGTTCGTTTGATATATGGGTCTGTTCTGATGGTCATAAAATTGGTAATATTTTTCTCAAATTGAAAAATTTTCTGGTTTAAGGGGATAATTGCATGCATTCGAATCTGGATAGTCCACTGTAAACTCCTTCATCTCATCTTGAATCTATATATATTTTTAATAGATTTAGTTTAGTTCTCTCATACAATGATCGTATTCACCATTCATCAACTCCAAAGCTATGAATTTTTACGGCTTATCTTATGGGCAGCCATTGATGATCTAATTAAACCTCGGTTTGCAGTGAAATTATCCACGTTAGATTCGGCTTGAACCTTCGGATCAACTGTTTCCTGTTCATGTTTGTGTTGTTGTTGTTTCAGCTATTATTATTGGTTATGTAGGCTGGGTTGATGATGATTTTTCTACAGTTCATCGGGATGGAGGGACCCGACCCGGGGCAAACTCCGGTCTGCAGCCATGGCGGTATGGTTTCTCCATTACCAAATCTGAGCTTATTTTCTGCTCCATATAATTTCAAAAATTAAACTCCATATAGGCATTTTGCTCATAGTATTTTAATTATGTTAGAGTCACTTGGAACTGCAACTCTTGATTTTGGAGTACATATATATAGTTGGTTTGATGTATTTGGAAACTGTGTCTTAATTATTAATATTAATAATATTTTAAAATACAATTGTCACCGTGCCTCTATCTCTGTCAATCCATCGGTTCCATTTCCAGAAGGTTCACTTTACCTTCATCGTCTCTGCGCTTTCTGTTTCGTCACTCTGAAACTCCACCATTTTAGCTCGAATCCTACTCCATACCACACAGCTCGCTTGCGATTCTTGTCAATCGCAAGAGCATATGGTCGTATATCATAGTTTTCGTGGTTTTTCAAGCCCTATTTTAGATGTGTAGATTGTAGCAGTTTCCTGAAATTTCTAAGTTGAATCTTGCAGCCAAGGTAAGTTTTATACTATATCATTCTATTAATTTATATTCTATGAAACAAATCATCCTAATTTTATTAGATACAGGCAACCCTAACAGTTTAAGCTTGATTTCTACATGATCAATACATCCCAAGTCCTCTTAGAGTATGGATCTTTGGAAATAGTGACTTGGAAAGCACATGCAGATCATTTTTGTGTATGAATTTCTTACAAAGGTGGGTATGTTCACTATTTGGAGGTGTATTTGCTGGAGTGGCCGTTTTATACTCCGATTACCTACAAAATACTTTCAATTTCTTGGTGGAATTGCTCATAGCATTAGACTTTCTTAGTAATGATAGTATGATACTAAAAGTTTTGTCCCACCTTTAATGTGCATGATTGAAAAATTATCCAAGTTGAATTATCAGGTTAAATTTTATCTACTTGTACTTTCTTTTGTCGCACATCTAATTGCATAGTGTTTCACATCTACTTTATATATGTGATACTTGTATGTTTTGTCTGTTGTGTGTCCTGCTTATTTACTAACATCACATCCTAGTTTTTGCAAATGATGAAATTTACTTTTGATGCTATATACAGAATACTTATTAAGTTCTCTACTATGGACCGCAGAATGCTTACCTAACACTGAGTAGGAGTCTGAATATGGATCTTTGAAATTATCACGTGTATCTTTAAATTGAAGTTCATGTACCCCAATCACAATGAGCCTGGGTTGCTACTATCCAATCACTTATCCATCTCAGAACGATTGAATGCAAGTAGAAAACTGTAGTTTTTGTTTCAATTTCTATTGTTTGTACTTTGAAGATATACTATTAGAGTCTTTATGACACACTACCATTTTGATTTCTACCTTTGCAACATAGTTCATACTATTATTCTACTCTCAGTATTTAAGTGCTTACTGTGTGTCATGCAGTTCAGAGTAACATCCCTTTGTAGTTTTTTTTAAATGATACTGCCAAATTCTGATTTTATATACAGAATATTCCCTAAGTTGTCTATGCTGAAGAGCACAGCATGCGTACGGAACACTGAGTAGTAGTAGGATGTATTGATCTGTTTATTTATCACACATGTATTTTGAAATTTAAGTTGATGTAAACTTTGCACAATTTGTTTTTCCAAGTTTCTACTTTTACATTCACAGTACACACTATTACAGACTGGTTTGCTGATATCAATATGGTACCTCATCTTTTCTTTCACAGTATAATATATACTATTATAGACTTGATGACACTTTATAATTTTGCTCCCTACATACTTTTGACATAGTATGTGACTACATTCTCTTCTTAGTAATTACTGTTTCTTGTAAGTATAAAGTGTAGAGTTAGATATCTATTTCAATTTTCAAGATTCTTCTCCTCTAATTATTTGAGTCGTCTTCCTTAGCTCGCCAATGTTCTCCTCTGCAACTGAGATCAGAACTTGGTTCAATTTGATCTCTGTCAGCTGGACATGTTCTATAGATGGATCAAGGCTTGTTTTTACATTCTCATATATTGGTACTCTTTATAGTTAGTATGAGTTCTCTCAATCAAGAAGAAATTCAAGAAAACTGCATCAATACAGAACCTGGGAGAACAGATACTCACCATGCTCGGAATCTAAAAGCTAAGTTTGATTAAACCTATTTTAATCATTACCTACTACATATGCCAGTAATTACATTTCCAGATCTATGTTTAATTTAGATCCTTAATTTCTAAACAGTTAAGAATTTTTTTGTCTATAAATCTTGGGTTTTTTCTAATTGCATGTGTGATTTAAACTACATTTTCCTCATATCTATGCCAACGATTACATTTCCAGATCTGTGTTTAATTTAGGTCCTCAATATCTAGAGGGTTATCCTGTTGTCTATAAATCTTTGGTTTTTTCTAATCGCATGTGTGATTTAAACTACATTTTCCTAATATTTATACCAGCAATTACATTTCCAGATCTGTGCTTAATTTAGGTCCTTAATATCTAAACAGTTAAGAATTTCTGATTGTCTATAAATCTTGGGTTTTTTCTAATCGCATGTGTGATTTAAACTACATTTTCCTCATATCTTCAAAATAGATAGATGCATGTTTGATATATCATCAAATCTGAGACTTTAAATTAGTATTAGCTTCTCCATTCCATGATTTTTAACTTTGATTGTAGTTCATAGTTGTTTTCCGAGAGATTTGTGCGATTCTAGATGATTCATTTTAGAATCGCAGTTGGCTTTCTTTTTTATTTTTTGTTTTTACTACTATATATTGATATATTGACACATATCCTACGAATTTCTAAATTGGTTTTTGAACTACATCCCCAGCTTAGAGATGGAAGAAGGAACAGATTCATCCACAATTGGGAGTAGGTGTTTCACACTAGGTATGTGTGATTTAACATTTAAAGATTCATGTAGTAGGTGTTTCTTTTTACAAATTGGTTGCTCAAATGTGATTTTAAGTGTTAATTCTATCACTCATGAAATATTTGTATTTGTAATTTACCTGTTTCTTTACAAACTTTATTTGTATTCCACATCAATTTGCTTGCTAATATATAAAATACAGTATAGATCTAATCTACACTTGGATTAGATAAGAACTAATTTAGATAATTTAAAAAACTTCTTATCTGGCCACTGTTGGTGTACATTCTGCCTTTCGAACTTGTCCTCATATTACTCCCATCAGCTTACTTATCTGGGAAGACAGGATTGTTCTTCTTGATTGTGTGAAACTTGCATTCTATGAATATTTTTCTCCTACAACATTTCAAAGTATAATAAATAAACACAATCTATTCTATGTTTGAAAATTTTTTCAGCATACAAATGGTAAAATGATAAAGAAGATTTCAATAAGAGGTAACAACCATAATTGAAATAAGTATAACATATAAGTTGAATTAAGCATTGAAATCACGTATGCATACCTCTATTTGCAGAAATGTGTTTTTTTTTCAGCACATGCTTCTTTGTTAATTGTAGCATCTTCCCTTCCCTGACCAAATTATTTGTAGAATTCACCTTGACATTTTCACAAACAGTTTGCAGGTATGAATTATTATTGCTAGGTTTTGTAGATTCAGTCAATGGTACGCCCACATTCCCATTTGATTTATACAATCAATTGGTGCACACTATGAGCAGTATGAGTTAACACATTCATTCGCTATTCAATGAAAATTAGAAGTGGAAGGCTTACCCGCTATTATATCCGCAAATGAGATCCCCTTATTCAGTAGTCCTGCCAAAGCTCCTGCTTCTCCCTTAATTGCAGCCTCAGAGAGCTTATGTTGCTCGGCAATTTATACCATACACCCGGTGTATAGAGCCATGTACGCCCAGCATCAAAACGACGCCGTATGGAATTGTTATGTAACGGATTTTTTTTTATTAGTCTGTTAACGCCGTCAAACGGTAAGAAGAGGGAAGTGAGAGAGCGGCTCTAAAGACATGATGTCGTCGCGCCGATCATGCATATTGGATTAGAGAACACGAGAGCTACCTGATTGTTCGATTTGCGTCGTATTTTGCAATTGTTGGATGGAAGCCATGTCTGATTCGATTGCACAGCAGGATGTGGCGGAGACAGAGCATACAACTGATCCTGTTGGAGTGGTAGATACAGAGGATGCTAATCCAGGTATTTGATTTTTAAGATTTTATTTTGTATTTGTGTTTGATGTATGATGAATATATTGAACTCGGTGTTGAATTATATAAGAATTGATATAGAATTTCTGTTTGATTGTGGTTGTTTTGGATGTTAGTATGGTTTGATTTGAAGTTGTTGTTTCAGTGAGGTTGTACGTGTATTATATGGTTTGATTTGTTTGGTTTTATGATTATGTGATTGTGCCATATGTGTATGTGTATTGTAGTTATGGATTATGTACATTAACAGTATGCGATATAGGTTTTATGTATTTTAATGATTATGTGTATTGTGCCATATGTTTATGTGTATTGTAGATATGGATTATGTACATTAACAGTATGGGTAGTTAAAATGTATGTTATTTGCAACTGATCAGGATTTGGTAGGGATGTCAGTGTGTTCGGTTGATGAAGCATATGACATGTATAATGATTATGCCTTTAGAGTAGGTTTTAGCGTGAGGAGGGGTAAGCAAAGATATAGTTCTGCTACAAAAACAATGAAAACGAAGATGTTCCATTGTTCGAAAGATGGTTTTAAAAGGAGTACAGGAAAAGGGTGTTATTCTAAAATTGATGGTCGTACAGGTTGTGGTGCATTTGTCCAATTCGATTTACATGAGAATGGGATGTGGATTGTTTCGAAGCATGAGAAGTTGCATAATCATGAATTGGTTCCACCAAGCAAGAGTTACCTTCTAAGGTCACATAGGATGGTGTCTAGGAATCATATATCATATCTTACTGATTTGAAGAGCAGTGGTGTGTCTGTTGCAGATGGTGTAAGATTACTTAAAACACAATCAGGGGGATCACCACTTGTTGGGTTTACAAGTGGGGATGCATATAATTCTCTATGTACCGATGCATTGAACAAATTGGATAGTACCGATTCAAACACATTGATTGAAATATTCAAACGGAGGCAGTCAAGTGAAAGGGATTTTTACTTTGATTTTGAGGTGGATTTGGAGTCAAGGTTGTGTAGTTTTTTTTGGAGGGATGGATGGATGAGGAGATACTATGATTTGTTCGGGGATTTGCTAGTTCACGATACAACATATCGTACTAACAAATATGACATGATTTGTGGACCTTTTGTTGGCATGAATAACCATTGCATGAATGTTATGTTTGGATGCGGTTTTTTGATGAATGAGAAGATTGAGTTATTTGTATGGTTGTTTAAGACATTTTTGAGATCTATGGATTACAAAAGTCCACAAAGCATAATGACTGATCAATGTGCTGCTATGGCTGCTGCAATTGTTCAAGTTTTTCCAAGTTCACGACATCGGCTATGTATATGGCATATTGACGAGAACTCAAAGAAGCACATTAAAGGGGTTAAGAAATCAAAAAGATTTCCTAGATATATTCAATTGCTTGTTGAAGTATACGGATACAGATGCGGAGTTTGAATTTTACTGGACGAGGTACGTGTCTGATGTATGCTTCGTTATTTTATTTTTATTTTTTTTTGTTTGTTTTTATTATTAGTTTACACATGGATTATCATTGAATGAATAGTTGTAGATTATATTATACAGAATACGGAATTATTTTTCTGGATCAAGTTTATGTGTATCTGTTTGATAGTTTATGTGTATTCATGTATAAGATTATGTACATTAGTCTGTTCTGTATGTTATATACTGACATGCTTGTAGGTTTACTTTAATATATCTATGGCATGTTATTTCAGGATGGTTACAACATATAAATGTCACAATAATCATGGCATGTTATTTCAGGATGGTTACAACATATAAATGTCACAATAATCACTGGATTGAAAAGTTGTATGGGTGTAGAGAAAAATGGTGTCCTGCTTTTAATAAAGATTATTTTTCGGGTGAGATTTTATCTTCTCAAAGGAGTGAGACCACCAATCACTCTATTTCTAGAAGGTTGTCCAAGACATCTGGTTTGTGTGATTTTTATAACTCTTTTGTTGGGGTCATATCAGAGTGGAGAAGTAGAGAGAATTGGGAAGATGTTCGGTGTTCACAAGGTGTACCCACAATGTGATGGATAATGTTAAGATTCTGTTGCATGCTAGGGAAATTTATACAATTGAGATATACTATTTGTTTGAAGAACAATTTTTGAAAGGTGGATCATGCTATCAAGAGTGTGTGATGTTGGAAGATGGTGTGTATAAGTATCATGTCTGGAGGCCTGATGTTGATATTATTAGGCATGAAGTGGTGTTTAATAGTAGACAAATGGACATTGGATGTAGTTGCAAGTTGTTTACTGAATTGGGGATTTTGTGCTGTCATTGTTTACGCATTCTAAATGTGCATTGTGTTTCTGAAGAACCCGAGAAGTATATTTTGAAGAGGTGGACTAAAAAATTTTTTGAAGTTGATAATGTTGATATAATGTCTAGAGTTGATAGTGGTAATGGTGCATCTTCTGTTTGGTTATTAGAAATCATTAGGAAATTTCAGAGGCTTGCTGTTTATAGTCAGGAAAATATCGAAGGACGGAAGATTTGTGAAGAAGCAATTGCAGATGCAAAGAGAAGACTTGAAGCTGAATGTGGTGGCAGTTTATTTGAAGATTGTGACATAGGATCGACAAGTGGTGTTATAAAGGATCCATCTACTAGGCGGATGAAAGGGTTGCGGAATAGGAGGGTGAGCAGTGTTATTTCAAAGAAATATAACAAGCAAGGGGACGGAAGCATCTTGCAAATATGGTTGCTTCCAAAATAAAATCTGCTGTTCAGTCTCAAGTTGAGGGTGATATTTTAAATATTGCAGGCGATGGATATCTTGTGCACCCAAGTTCCGGAGGTTCTAGTTTTTGTCACGTTAGCACAATGTCAAGCATGGATGATAATTAAAGCACATGTTAGTGTTAATCATCGTAGTAATATGTATCACGTACAGAACGATGTTAAATCACATAACTCAGCAGTAATAAAATAGACTTTTATTATGATATGTGCTGTTTTAAAAGTTTATGTGTATTAATTATATACTTTATGTGTATTAATATACTGTATGTGTATTACTTCATATGATTATGTACATTTTTATTTGTGTTAATTACTTTTATTTATTTATGTATTTCTTTTTTAGATTTGCAGTTATCAGTATAGGGAAATGATATGCTTGGTCATATGTGTATTATGTACATGTTTATATTCAGTAGGATGTTTGATTATATATATTAGCAGAAACAAAATATTTGTTAGACTTTTTTTAGTAGTATGTGCACTGTTTGAATATGTGTATTCATTATATGGGTTATGTGTATTACTTCATATGATTATGTACAATTTTTGATAGTTCACAGTTTTTGTAGTATATGCATTGATTATGCACAAAACTATATTGGGGAATATGAAAAATATAGAATACAAGTAAACATTAGATTGGATTACCAAAAGGAGCATATACAAATTTTTGATAATTGTTTATCAACTGAAACTTCTAGAAATTGAACCAAAAATACAAGTAACCATGTGTTTGGATTAGCAGAACTGATTTTTACAGATTGTGGTTAGTAGTTTCACTTCTCTTTCTTGTAGTTGTCCCTTGCTGATTGCATGACTGTTTCCATGTATTCGTTTTTCTTTCACATGATGATGTTTGCTGCATATTTTGCTCTAAGCGATGTAATGAAAGCAGCCTACAGTAAACAAAAGATACATGTTAAAATTAGAAGAAACAAGAGATAACATGTGTAATGTAGAACAAAGTTGATTATTACTTACATCACTATCACCCCTACGAAACCTGTTTCCCATTTGTCTACTGCAGTCCCTTTGTAAGTTTCCATGTGGCGCATGCAATACACACCACAATCTGTTGTGTTCTCTTCATTTTGCCATGGCATGTGAATGCACTCAGCTTCGATATTCTTCACTTTTCTTGCAAGGGTGTTTTTCTTCGATTGGAGGTATTTGTAGAAAACTGTTTTCTGCACATTATAGTAATTGCAGTGTTTAATTAATTTAAGTAATGTAAATATTAAACTACAGTGTATAGATATTTAATAGGAGTATTAGTTTATCTTACCAACTTAGCCGGGCAGTTCTCATATCTGTTCGTATTTGGTATTCCCTTGGGCATTAGCTTGTTATCAATGATCTGAAGTTTTGACTTGGGGATGTTAAAGCACATCAAGTAGTAGTGATTGCGCCTCAAGATTGTAAAGAAAACCTGAAATGAATAATTAAAAGGTATTTAACAAATTGTGTCAAATACATACATAAATTCAATAATCTTAAAATTCATATATATATATATATATATATATATATATATATATATATATATATATATATATATATATATATATATATATATATGTTTTACTTACAAGACTTGCATCTGTGATATCAATTGCAGTCCCCTCAACTGGTAGTCAATATTTGCACAGAAGTCACCTATATCCATATTCCTTGCTTTTATTTCAACATTTTCAAGCGTCATCTGCAAAGAAGAGGTTGTGTGTCATATAGTACATTGTTTTAAAAAATGCGTTAGTTGTAGATGTGTACTTACGTAAGCAGCTTCCGAGAAGCAGATCCTTTTTGGTTGATCAATTGATCTTTTCATATCAAGCACCGTCAATCTGTGTGCCCAGATTTGCAGGATATTTGTAGCTAGTTGTCTATTTGCCAATGTTGCAATGTCCTCCCTCGTTGCAAACAGATCATGGGCAGAAAACAACATTTCACTGGAAACAAACGAAAACAAGTTGATATTACAAAATAAACATTTCACAATTTAAAGTAATATAATGTCATGAAGTAATACACATAACATATAACCAGGACACCAATGTACATAATATCATGAATGAATACACATAACATATACATGAATACACATAACATATATCAGGAATACACATAATGTGGTATATCAACTGAGAACACCAATGTACATAATATCATGAATGAATACACACAACATATACCATGAATACACATAACATATATCAGGAATACACATAATGTGGTATATCAATTGAGAACACCAATGTACATAATATTATGAATGAATACACATAACATATATCATGAATACACATAACAAATATCATGAATACACATAATGTGGTATATCAACTGAAAGCATCTGTTATAACAAGTTATAAATGAAATACATACTAATACGGGTACTCAGTTTCATCTGATGGCAGGAATGCATAGTCTGAGATCAGTTTTTCCCTGGCGGAAACATTCTTGAGCTTTGAAATGTTGCTTATCCAGTACGGGGATCGACAAGCCAGAGGGAGGTTTTTGAACTTTCGCTGTGGCCTCTTCCGGACATTGACATCTTCAACATCATCTTCAGATTCAGCAATGATGCTTTGTAGAGACAGAAAAGTAATTAGGAACATGTTTTAATGTGTTAAGCAGTAGGCATAACAACATGATTAAATAATTAACAAGGATAAATGCACATAAGGATACCGTTAAGTGATATGTGAGTTTTACCTATCAAATTCAATTTGTTCTGGAGTTTTCTATTCAGTTGCTGGTAGTGATTGGGGTGAACCATCAGCTATGTCATCAATGATATTCTCCAAGAGTGTTGCAATTGGGGTAAGTGCTGCTGCTGCTGTGTTTCCTTTGGTTGTTTGTGGTGGTGGTGTGGTGGGTGATGCTGATAGAGTTGCTGCTCGGGGTTCAGATGTGGGTTCGGGCGGAGGTGGTGTTGTTTCAGGTGGAGTTGCATTTCTTGGGGCCTCTTCGGGAGTAGCGTCATGGCTAGTTGGCGTTAGGAGATTAAAAGTTGGTGCGGGTATGTCAGCAGTTGTCATGTTCTTCAATGTTGCCAGGAATGCCGCTTCAAGTTCAGCAACCACATCCAAGAAACTAGGTTGGTTGTAGATATCATCATCTCGCAGTAAGTTTTCCGGTGGGGTTGGATTCGGGCTTGGGGTGAGGTTGGCAGTGGCGGATAAGTTGCTGAACACATTTTTTATAATCTCAACAACAGAGGTGTTTGCCCCAACATCTGCCATGACCTCACCGAACTCCATAATGCTCGTGGTCATCTTTTTCAATGCGGTGGTGACCTTTTCAACTTCCTGACCTTGTGGCAGTTCACGGGTGGTGACAGTTGAGGAGGTGGTGGCTGATGTGCATCTGGGATATATTCAACGACTTTGCCCTTTCCAAAGCCGCCTATGTCTCTTTCAACCTTGACCCTTGCCCTCAAATCACTTGAAGTCCATGAAGTGATGGTGGGAATTCTCTTTCTGACTATTTCTCCTCTAACCTGCACTTTGTCTAGGTATGCCAACTTCAAATAGAGAAACAAAAAGAAGAAGATAAACCATTCAAAATCAGTATCAGTTTATGTTTAGGTTGGTAGAGTAGGATACACATAAAGTTATTAAAAGATGTACATAATTATAGTCTACAATGTACATAATGTATATCATGAATACACATAAGGTTATAGGTCAATATACAGAGTGCATACCATCAGGAAAGTTGCAGGACCAGTGAAGGCTGCATCACGTTTGCCCCTCCATGTTGTGGTGGTGTCAACAAGAGATCGTATCGTGTAAGCACACCAGTTGAAGTCTTGGATCTTGCTGACATCTTGCAGTGAATACAGGAGCCTGTAGTTGCAGAACATGTTCTTGAAGCCTCTTATCAATGTGGAAACAACATAGATTATGAAGTCACGTTTGAACATGTCTCCATGATCACGCCTCTCAATAATGCCATTCAGCATCTGGCTTGTAGTTGGTGTGCCTGTCTTCACTCCCCACCGCTGTCTCCAAAGTGCAACCAAGCCAGTGAACTGTGGGTCCTTGCTTGTTATTTCAGCCTCCACAACAGTCTGTTGGCCTCTGGGGATGCCAAGTGTTTTCTGTACATCATCATCTCCTAGAAGGAGCTCCTCCTCTTCCAGATGTATTGAGCATCTACCAACATCAAAGCGCTCAAGAAGGTATCTCAGAAGTTCACAATCACACAAGGACAATGTTGCATTTAAAAGGGATCCAAATCCCATATCTCGAACAGCTTGGTGCTGTTCTGGGCTCAGACTACTGACGAGTGCACAGAGCTGCTTTGGGGAGGTCCGTACAGATAAATAATCATTGTTTCTTGGTTTTCTCCTCTTTTGTTTTTCATTACTTCTTATGCTCTTTGGGGCTTTGGCAGGTTCAGCAGCTGCACTGGCATGGGTTTTCTTTTGTTTTTTGGCAGCAGGCTGTTTGGGGGCATCACCGGCATTTGTACTGGTTTCAACATTTGGTGATTCAGAACATGTTTCAGCACCCTTTGACGAAGCAGCGGTATTTTTCTTTCGTTTACCTCTCTGGCAATTTGTAGTAGTGTAGGATCAGACGTGGTTGTAGGTGTTGATGTAGGTGCAACATTCCTTTTTCTGGGAGATCTCCGGGGATTAGTGGGTGTAGGGGTTGACATATCTGTAACAACACAATACACATAAATACAAATATAAGGAATACGTAACACTAATATTAACACCAAATAGGCAGTAGATTGGGATTGAGAATTTTACAGGGGTGCAAACATACAATGTACATAATCTAATGAATGAATACACATAATATATAACTAGGATACACATAATGTTGAATATAAGAAAAATGGTTATCTATGATGAGGTATAGGAACTGAGAACATTAATGTACTTAATATTATATCAGAATAAACACAAGTATAAGTAATATGTAACCCTAGTTGACATAATAACATAATACACATAATAACAGTTTTAAGTATTAGGTAACACTAATATTAACACCAGACAGACAATATACTGAGATTGAGAAGTTTGCAGGGATGCAAATGTGTAATGTACATAATGCTATGAAGAAATACACATAACATATAACCAGGATACACATAATTTTGGAATAGAAGAATAATGACTATCTATGATGAGGTATAGCAACTGAGAACACCAATGTACATAATATAATGAATGAATACACATAACATATACCATGAATACACATAACATATATCAGGAATACACATAATGTGGAGTATAAAAATAGCGGTTATCAATGATAAGGCACAGGACCTGAAAACAGTAATGTACATAATCTTATACCAGAATATACACAAGTCCAAGTAATATGTAACCCTTGGTATCGTTGCTGTATTAACACAATGAAGTAATAGCATGAATGTTTGGAATGAGAAGTAATAGTAGTTATGCTTACTTGTATCTTTGCGATGTTGTATGCCCTTTTGCAGAAGAATGTGGTGAAGTTTTTGCGATTTTTGGCGTAGTTCGCGAAAAAAATGTGATCGTTTTTGAATTGCAGGGAGTGGTGATTGAAGGCTTCGTGAAGAAGAAAGGTTTGATATATATATATATATATATATATATATATATATATATATATATATATATATATATATATATATATATATATATATATATATTTTAAATGTGATTGGACGGACGGAGAGGCGCCCGTCCGTCAAATATCCACTAACGGAGTAATATTAAAACACCACCGTTTTGCAC